CCAGCGGGCCAGGGGGAGCAGAGGCTCAGCCGGCCAGGGGGGAGCCGGGGCTTATCCTGCCTGCTAAGGCTCCTTGTCTCAGCCACTCTTCTCTGTTGCATCTGCTATGATTTAAGAGCCATTATCACTCCTTTATTGATTTAAGTAAAATTTTATTATTTACAAAGTAGAAGGAAATCAGGTGAGAATAGTTCACCATAAAGATGTAGTTTTAAATAAGTCGGGATTGCGCTTTGTAACAAAGCCCAGGCTGGCCTCGAACTGATCCTCCTGCCTCAGCCTCCCAAGTGCTGGGATTACATGCAGTTTTTATTCTGAAGTTAAAACACTGCTGACTTCTGCTGGTCTATTGAAAGGAGCAGTTAAATGCTTAAAATGTTTTTCTTTTTAATTTCTTATAGCTTTTTAAAAACCAGTTTTGCATGTTCATAACTGGTAATCTAAACAACTGATTTGAAGATAACATTATGTAGTACAACCATTGTCAAATTCCTGTCCTGTTTTTTTTTTTTTTAACATTTTGTATTCTTTTTAAAAAATAATACAAAAATTGTTTAGTCCAAGGTTTCTGTTAAAAATAAAAAAGAAGTACTGTCTTAGGGAATAATAAGCAACATTTCATCGCAGTGGTATGTGGTGAATCCTTTAAAGTTTCTTCATGCTGTGTTATTTTAAGATTCAGAAGTCTTAGAAACTGGAATAGCAGGGCTGAAGGGTAGCTCTGCAGTGGAGCCTTCACTTCGCATGTGTGAGGCCTTGGTACACCTAGCGTGGGCCCCCCCCAAACCTGTGGCCTACGGTAATATTGTCCTTTGTCCGATCATGAGCTATTTCTGAGTTGTGCTGACAAACATTAATTATATCAACCAAATAAAGAAGGCTTTAGTAAAGGAGCCTGTTGTAGATACTGCTATTATATATTTAACAAATCACCCACCTTGGTTAGAGAGCTGGTTGGAGTAGCAGAGTCTGCCTCCTCGTGTAGTGCCCGCACGCGGGAGCTGTTAGGTGCAGTGTGTGAATCGCAGCAGACTCCCAGATGGGGTGGCTCGGTGGCTCCCTGAGTAACACCACTGGCGGACGGCAGCCAGGTTCCTCAGTGGATCCAGCTGTAGGTTCTGGGCGTACATACAGTCTTTTTCTCCAAACTGGTTGCTGTTGGCCTGCTAATGGGCCTCTGTGGCCCTGGCATGTGGATTTTTTTTTTTGTCCTCAGTAATTACTGGTACTCCTAAGATGTAAATACGGCACTTCATGGAAGGCTTGGTGGCTAGCCTGCCTCACAGGTTACTGAGCTTCTGTGCAGAATGCAGGCTTTATATTCCAAAGGTTTTGCTAAGCAGTCTTGTTTGTGTGTGTGTTTAGGGCACAGCAGACGCTCATGAGCTCGCAGAAGGCAGTGCCGCGGACGTCCTGCATTCCCGAGTCGGTGGCGAAGTCATGGAGCTGGTCCTGGTGAAGTACATGGGCAGAGACTGGACCGGGCATGTGGGCGTCTGCGACACGCTGCCCGAGTTCTTCCTCGTGTGCTTTTCTTCCAACTCCACGGAAGGGATGACAGTGGACCTGTCTGTGCACGTCCAGCGAAGCGGCAGCCGGCTGGTGCTGTCCGTCTTCAGTCCCTACTGGCTCATCAACAAGACTTCTCGGGTTCTGCAGTATCGTTCGGAAGACAGTCATGTAAAGCACCCTGCTGATTTCAGGGACATTGTTTTATTCTCTTTCAAGAAGAAGAACATTTTTAGTAAAAATAAGGTATGTTTTATTCACAGAACCAGTTAAAATAGGTGACTTTCTAACCCGGAACCTGGGAGGGTTTGCAGTCAGGCCTGCTGGCCTGTTTGCCCCGTGCCTGTGTGTGAGTGAAGTCCCAGGAGACCTCAGGGCTGTAAGTCAGGGGGTGGGACAGGGCCGCTCTTTCTCCAGTGCATGCGGCATTCCTTCTGTCCTCAACCTTGTGTCAGGCGGGACAGACCTGGCTTTGTCTAGCCGGCAGCAGTGATGCGGGCATGAAGCGCACGCCAGGCCTTTGGCCAGCCGATGCTCACGCCTGCTTTCTTGTGTCCTCGTCCCTTTTTTCGTTCAGACTTTCCTCCCCTGGGCGCACTCGACCACATGTTGCCCGTAGATTTTTGCATGTGCTGCGCCCTTGGCCTGGAGGACCACTTCCCCTACTCGTGCTCCATTTTCCTTCCCTTTCCTGTTCCCTGCTGTTTGTTCATTAGTGTTCTGCTGAGGCCTGGTATGTGTGAAGATTTTACAGTCATTTAAAATGAGTCTAGATGCTCGTTCTTATCCTCTGGAGAACAGTGGATCTCAAATTTCATTGATGGTAGAGTCACCAACAAGCCATTAAAGCGTTTGCATCTTTGTCCCTGCTGAGTTGGACCCAGGAGGTCCAGGCCGGCCTGGGAATCTGCATGTAACATACGCCAGTGGTCTGAGACCACTTCGAGAGCTGCTGTCTTAGAGTGTGGACTGCACGTGATGCTGTGAGCACCTGCTGTCTGCTTACCTTTGAGTTTTTAAAAATCGAGTCGTGGGTAGTGGTCAGGGGCACACGAGTACGGGCGGGTCTCTTTCACAAGACCTCTTCTAAAATCCAGAGCCAAGCAAAGCGGCTGCTGCTTCTTGTTTTGGTAGCATTCTCACCTCGTGTGTGTGTCCAGTCCCACTGCGTCTTGTGTTGTAATCGTCAGTGTAAGTTCTCTGTTCTGTTGGCTTCCCTGCTCCCTGAGGCCGGAGCTGTGTCCTGCTGTTCTCTGTTCTGCTTCTCACGGTGCTGTGTACTTAGCACCTGCTGAGTAATGCCAACGGGATACACGTGCTGTGTGCTAACGCTGTGCGGGGCTCGTTGATCTACTTCATAGCTCTAACGTTGGACAGTGTCATTTTTGCATTACATTTATGAGAAACATCGGTGCTCAGCTGTAAATTCACCATGCTCACTGCTTGGGAGATGGAAAGGTCAGAGCTGTGCTTGTTATGTTGGCCTCTACAATTTTCTGTGGTTCTGTTGTATATTTGCAAATATGACTGTGATAACATTGTTGTATGTGTCTTGTACTACTAAAATTTCTAGCAAGTAGTCTAGCAATTTTCTACCTTTCTATCAGATAAATCAAGTTAATATTACCTTATAGGTTTCTTATATTATGGTATGTGTTGTCTTCTACAGGTGCAACTAAAAATTTCAACTAGCGCTTGGTCCAGTAGCTTCTCATTGGACACTGTGGGAAGTTACGGGTGTGTGAAATGTCCTGCCAACAACATGGAATTCCTGGTGAGGACCCGCTGCTTACTTCCCGTCAGCTCCATGCCCCTTCTCTGCAGTCAGTGTGTATCTGGCTCCTAGAGACCTAACAGAAATTTTAATTCAACCTAGTGTGCAGAGGGCTGCCTCTACGTATTTCTATGACTGCTTTTTACCAGCAGAACTTGAATTTGTTCAAATGAGTAACTTCGTAAATATTCACAGTACACTTGGTTTTCTTTCCATATGCACCTTGCCGTGGTGGGTAGCTTCATTTTTACCTCCTGGAAATTTAAATGGTATAGTACCAGCTGAGCTGATCTGTTACTACAAAAATTTTGTTTGTTGATGACAAATAGTGAAGCAGCAAAACTGGAGCATCTTTACTAAATATAAAGCAGTTTTTTTTTAATATTGCAAAGGGAAGAATGCCAGAGAGATTAAATTAGTCTCTGAAAAGTAGCACAGATTACTGAATGATATTTTTAAACTGGTTTCTGATAGAGCCAAATGAAGGAGCCTTATTTTTTCTCCTAGAAAATAACGGAATATAGTTTGTTAGCTTAAGAATTCTCCCTCTAAGGTACTGTAAGACGTTCACGTGTGTGGGGGGAGCTCTGTGCGTTTCCTGAGCCCGAGCAGCGTGCTGACAGGCGCGCCCCTTCTCCCTGCAGGTCGGCGTGAGCATCAGAATGAGCAGCTTCAACCTCTCGCGGGTCGTCACCCTGACTCCCTTCTGCACGATCGCGAACAAGTCCTCGCTGGAGCTGGAGGTCGGCGAGCTCGCCCCCGACGGCTCTGTGCCCGCCAGCAGATGGAGCTACGTTGCTTCTTCAGAGGTGATGTGTTCTTTAATTAGGTCTAATTCCTAAAATATCAAAGAAACGTGTTTTTAAAAAATTGGTACATCTTAATATTTTTGTCCCCTTTTCTGTCTTTAGTCCCTGACATATAAATAAGAACTATCTATACTTCTTTGTCTTATGTTGCCATTTTTGTGTTAAAGTAGGGCAGCTGTGTTTTGTTAAAAAATGTATTTAGTACACGGTCTACAGGGTGTACAAGGTCTTACTACACAGATTGGACTAGTAGTGATTCTCCTGTTTGCAGCCTCCCAAGCCCTGGGATTACAGATGTGCCACCACACCCAGTCTCAATCACCGGCTCAGTGTGCCCTGGGGTGGGGCCGGCATGGCAGTGCAGGGATTGAATCTCCATGCCCTGCGTCTGCTTAAGCAGGCGCTTTAATCTGCTGAGCTATTTGGCTGGCCCTTTAGGCATCTGGTTTTGAAAGATTTTTCTTTTACCCTATAAGCATGTGGTTTTTTTCTTTTTTTTTTTAAAGGAGCACTGTTGCTAATCTGTACCCACCACTAGCCCAGTCTAGATGATTAGCAGTTGGCTGGTTCTCCCATACGTAGAGCATGCGCACTACTTCCTGTGGAAAGCACTGTAGAAGCCCTGGGCCACATGCTGCCGTGACGTCAGCGTGATGTTGGCGAGCATACAGAGGCCCTGGGCCGCGTGCTTCCGTGACGTCAGCGTGATGTTGGCGAGCACGCAGAGGCCCTGGGCCGCGTGCTGCCGTGACGTCAGCGTGATGTTGGCGAGCAC